GAACAGAGATTCTAGGCCAGCCTGATCTGCCTCAAAATTTAATAAGAGGGCTAAAGAGATGGTTCAAATGGTTAAGGATACGTGTTCTTGCAAAGGACCTGAGTTCAGTCCCAGCATCATCCATAACTACAGTTCCAGGGGAATCTGACTCCCCCTTCTGACCTCTGAGGACATGTGGTATACATATACCTGCAGGCAAAACACTCATACATATAAACGTAAAACTTTTAAAAAAGAGTTTAATGACAGGGTATCCTTGGGACCCCTCCCATCCAGAAGCCTTCATCACTTTTTTATAAGTCTACATTTGGAGATGAAGAGCTGTCTCCATGGCTAAGGGCACTTAACTGCTCTTCTGTTAGACCTAAATCCAGTTCTCATCACCTACGTCAAGAGTCTTACCACCAGCTATGACCAGTTCTAGTAGAGCCAAAACATTCTGTCCCACTTCAGGCACCTGTACACATGTGGAACACACACACTCATGTCAGTACATACAGATAAATAACAATGATAAAGATTTCTAAATAATAATAATAAATGACATTTGCTCTGCTCAAAATAGTAATAGTAAAAATGCTTATAGCAGTAGTCTGTTTCTCGAAGTACCAGACGCATGGTTTCACTTTGGGAAAATGTCACAAGCTATATATTGATGGGTTATATACTTTTTTCATGTGTGTACTATGTGGTGACGGTGGTCTTGGTCATGGTGGTCATGGTGGCGGTTGGTCTCCTTAGCCCAAACTCAGGTTTATGAGGTGCTAGGGATCCAACCCAGTGCTTCCTACGTGCTAGCTAAGCTCTCTACCAACTGAGCTGTATCCCCAGTCCCTTAAAAGGGACTTTTTTCCCTTAGTAAATCTGATAGAGTAAAGGGAATACACCTCTACGTGAGAACCTGAAGATAATAGGGAAATAGTTTGTTGTTGGCTGGCCCAGGGTCACACATACTCTGAATGGTGGAGTTAACAGGCGTCTTCATGTCCCTGCTGACGTACAGTAGGCCTCTACAGATGATAAATCTTTGTTTTTCATAGGATGGAAATCCGAGAAGGCCTTGGCCACGGCAGCCTTGTTTAGTCGGCGTGCTTCTTAAATATGGCATACTGAACAACAGGACAGGATTGAGTTTGAGGGTTTTGTTTTGTGTTGAGATGGGAATCTGAGCTGTCCTGGAACTCACTCTGTAGACCAGGCTCACCTGGAATTCACAGAGATCCTCCTGCGTCTGCCTCCCAAGTGCTGGGATTAAAGGCGTGTGCTGTCTCACCAGTTCAGACAGAAATTCTTCGAAGATTTTAATCTAAACATTGATAAGAATATCTGATTTGCTAAGATTTACCCTTAAAATAAATCACTTGTTTGAGAATGCTTTCCCAAACTTTTTTGAAGATTTTGAAAAATCTTTGTCACATGCACAGGGTAGACCTAACTTGTCTATTAGGATGTGTGTGAAGATTTAAGTGTCAGCAAATTAGTGAAACAAGTGAATTGTGAAATTATATGTTTAATATGATCTCATGTCTAATTACATACTTGGAAATATAAGCATACGCAAACAGTAATGAGGATATTTACCAAGGTGCTAATTAAGTGATTATTTCTATATGAAAGAATTAAAGACTTTTACTTCCTTAATTTTTTTCTTGTCTATATAATTTTCAAATTTTTTTAGTTCAGGGAGCTGGTGAAATAGTTCTGTGTGTCAATAAGCTTGTCACTAAGTGTGGTGACCTGAAATTGGTCCCTGAAATACGCATGGTGGAAAGAGAGAGCCGTGTCCCAAAAGTTGGCCTCTGACCCCTGCTATCATACTGTGGCACACACACACACACACACACACACACACACACAAATAAATAAATAAATATGTAAATTTAAAAAATATGTAAATTTAAAAAATAATTCAACTTCATAACCAGGAAATAGCTACTTCTAGCTGCTAGAGATTGGGATCCAGGACCACAGCTTACTGGACAAGGGCTCTACTACTGAGCTATAGCCCAACCTATAATTTCTTTGTTTGTTTGTTTGTTTGTTTTGGGTTTTTTTGGGGGGAGGGTGGTCTTTTGAGACAGGGTTTCTCTATGTAGATTTGGATCCTGTCCTGGATCTCGATCTGTAGACCAGCCTGGCCTCAAACTCACAGAGATCTGCCTGCCTCTGCCTCCCAAGTGCTGGGATTAAAAGCATGAGTCACCACTGACCAGCTCTTTGTTTTAAAACAAGTTAACCTCAAACTTGGTATGTAGCCAAGGCTTGCCTTAAACTCTTTGTTTTGTTTTATTTTTTTGTTTTGATTTGATTTGTGAGATGGGGTTTCTCTGTGTAGCCCTGGCTGTCCTAGAACTCACTCTGTAGATCAGGCTGGCCTGGAATTCACAGAGATCCACCTGCCTCTGCCTCCCAAGTGCTAGGATTAAAGGTGTGAGCCACCACCGCCCAGCTCTCTGTGGTGTTTTATGGGCCTTTGTGGTCATTTATTTTTATTGCTAACTCAATATAAGCAGTCTCATAAAGGCCCTGCTACTGACCTATCTGCTCTAAGCTGAACTGACCCACCTGTCTCTAAGGCTGCTTTTCTTGCTCAGGCATAGATACCCTCTGGACCTTAACATAACTACATGCAAGGCTTTTGTTAAATATAATATCCTGGTTCAGTGAGTCATTTCATGAAGACAGAATGGAGGAGCTGTCTGAAAGGAGCCGACCTATAACCCAAGCCTCTGTGAAACTCTCTCCTCAGGTATGCTGGTATCCTCCTGGGCATCACAAACACATTTGCCACTATTCCAGGAATGATTGGGCCCATCATTGCCAAAAGCCTGACCCCTGATGTAAGTAGAAATTTTGCTTGTAAACTAAAAAGATTTGGGAGTTTTCACATCTCTGTCAAATTTGGTGTATTGTAATGATAAAATTCTGAGTGTTTATTCCTTATGAAAATTTTTTTAATATATATATATATGGGTGATTTGCCTGAACGTTATGGCTATGTACCATATCCATGCAGTGCCCAAGGAAGCCAGAAAAGGGAGGGCATCGGATTCTATGGCCCTGTAGTTACAGGAGATCATTAGGCATCATGTGAGCGTGGTTGTTAGCCATTATGTGGGTGCTGGAAACCAAACTCAGGTTCCCTACAAGAACAGCAAGTGTTCTCAACCACTGAGCCAACTCTCCGACCTTTGATGAAATCCTTTGTGACAAAAATACAATATAAAATAAAGTTTGTTGGAAGCTGCTACTTTATTGGGTAGGGATGCCGGTCAGTGACTAAAGCCACATACCTTAGTGTTCCACCCTGTCCCTGTGCACCACGAGGAAGGAGAGAGACTTACGGGTTCCAAAGACTTTAATAAACCACCACATACGCGGGTCACTGATCAATCAGGGCTGCAGGACAAGGACTCGGGAGCCTTATTTCTCCTGACAGCCCCCAGCAGGGACCGAAGCAGGGTTTATAAGCACAAAAACCACAAGCATTTGTTGCTATGTGACAGTTACAGTTTTCTTCACCAATCAGGAGTCAAAGATTAGGGACTTTCCTTGTGTGGTCCATCACTGTCAACCGACAGAAATGTGAGCCTTTTAGTCCCACCAATCAGATCCATTTGTTGTTTCTGTTGTTAGGAACAGCCATAATGTCTTAGAGAACTAAGGGGCATAGCAGACTGTTTCTATTGTCTAAGGAGGAGGGTGATCAGCTATTGGAAGGTTCCCAGCTCCCCTAGGGCCTGGGAACTTGAACTTTGTTTCACCCTGCAGGTAAAATGGAGTCTGAAGTCAAAAATGGCTGTATTTAGGCCAAGGTGCTTTTGCCTGCTCCCTTCATTAGTAGATAGGAAAGCATACTGTTTTCAGGATGGAGATGTGCCTCGGTTAGTAGAATGCTTTCCTGGAATGCATGAAGCCCTGGGTTTCATCCCCAACATAAAACTGGGCATAAGGGAGTATACCCATAATTCCAGCACAATAACAGAAAAAAGTATACTGTTTCCATAGAGCACTCTTTGAGGGTTAGGCAGAATAAACAGAATTAAGTGAAGGTCGTTAGCCTGGAACCCAGTGTATGGGTCAGGCTGGCTAAGGAAACAGTGCTGCTACGAAGGAATTGAGCTCCATAGCAAGATCAGGGCCAGCCTAGGCCGCATGTGATCATCTCAAAAGCAAATAAATAAATGGATAAGCCAGACACAGTTTCGCCTGCCTGTAACCAGCACTCAGGGTGCAAGGGCAGGAGGATTGCCACTAGTTTGAGACCAGCCATAACCAGGGCTACATAACGAAAGCTGTCTCAGTGAAAGGAGAGAGGAAGAAAGGAAGGAGAGAAAAGAGACAGGAGAGAACTTAGTTCTGTAAAGACAAGTTACAGATTCACAAATCCTAATGATACAGCTGAAGACATAGTGACACAGCGATATACCCAGGCAGCTGTTACCCACAGAGCAGAACGCTGCCCCTCAGCAAGCTAGTACCCCTTCCTCACCACCCAGAGCAACAGCCATTAGCCTTGTCTGAGCTTTTTATAGAAACAGTCACAAAAAAAAAAAAAAGAAAGAAAAACAGTTGTCAGTCTGCGCTGTGTCCGTCTGTCGTTTTGCTTATGTCTGTCTATATTGGTACAACTGGTTCATCCTCAGTCATTTGATCCTGTACTAAAGAAATGCTCAGCCGGGTGGTGGTGGCACACACCTTTAATCCCAGCACTCGGGAGGCAGAGGCAGGCGGATCTCTGTGAGTTCCAGGCCAGCCTGGGCTACAGAGCGAGATCCAGGAAAGGCGCAATACTACACAGAGAAACCCTGTCTCGAGAAAAAAAAAAAAAAAAAAGCTCCACCATCCTGCTCTTGTTGCTGCTGCTGAGTGTTTGGTTTGTTCAAGTACAGACTTTTATGAATGACGTTTCTGTTCTCACAGCCTTGCAATATCATCTTTTTTTTTCTAATACAAATTCTTCCATTGCGTTTTCCTTCCTTGTCCAGAACACTATTAGAGAATGGCAGACTGTGTTCTGTATCGCTGCTGCTATTAACGTGTTTGGTGCCATTTTCTTCATACTTTTTGCCAAAGGGGAGGTGCAGAATTGGGCTCTCAGTGACCACCATGGACACAGAAACTGAAGACGACAACAAATAATAACTAATGTACTTTTATTTATCATGTAAACTGAAAGTGCCTTCGGTATTTTAACGTGTAAGCATTCTATGAGAGAAAAATAGTACTTGTATTACATTTTTAAGGTGATCATGAAATGTTACTAGTTGCGAGATTATTTAAAATGAGCTGTTTTTAATTATTAATAATGTATCTGCCAGACCTTACATTGGGGTTCACATACCCAGCTGCAAGTTAGGCAGCATGATATAAGGGAGGGTTTAAGACAGTTTTTCTTGGCTGGTCAGTGGTGGTGGTGGTGGTGGTGGTGCTGCTGCTGCTGCTGCTGCTGCTGCTGCTGCTACTGCTGCTGCACGCCTTTAATCCCAGATAGGCAGATCTCTGAGTTCGAGGCCAGCCTGGTCTACAGAGTGAGTTCCAGGACAGCCAGGGCAACAACAACAACAAAAGACAGTGGTTCCCAACTTGTGGCTCATGACCCCTTTAGGAGTCAAATGACCCTTTCACAGGAGTCACCTAAGGCCATCAGAAAACACAAACATTTACATTATGCCTCATAACAGTAGCAAAATTATAGTTATGAAGTAGCAATATATCAATTTTATGGTTGGGGGTCACCACAACATGAGGAACTGTAATAAAGGGTCACAGCATTAGGAAGGTTGAGAACCCCACTGGCTTAAGAAATGAAGCTGAAATGGACCCTCCCTCACTAGTACACTTGTTTAGTTAAATTAGATAATCATCTCAGATCTTGTTGGATGCCTGTTTTTGTCTACTGCCCTCATAAAAATCGTTGCCAACTCTCCCTAACACGTAGATCTCATTAACATCTCCATAAAGCCACCAGCCACTGTAAGCCTTGGCCTGGCAGCTGGACCAAGGGATCCATGCCCAGGCAGCTGCCAAGCATTCCCTCCCTGGCTTCGGGGCTGAGATGCCCAGCAGTTATCAGAGGCGGCTTCCAAGTGCCGGGTCAATGCCAAGTGTTTGGCCGACACTCTTTCCCCGTGGCTGTTAACGTGTAGATAAAGCCCTAAGTGGACCCCAGCAGTCGGATCCACAGCTACTGTCCGGACACTGCCAGCCTGCCCTTGCCAGCACCCAGGCCTGATTACCGGCAGGTGACTTACAAAGCAAAGTGGGATGCCCAGCCAGTCGCAGATAACATCATCTTTGATTAAAATGACTTGCACACGAATCAGAGCATAAATGTTTACATTTAGTTTTTCTAGCTACATTAGAATTTTTTTTAAATGCTTTACATTTTTTTTCTTCAGTCTGTCTTGATTTATGCTTCTGGTTACACTTTAAAGTGACTTTCAGGGCCAGGGGTTTGGCTCAGTGGTAGAGCACATACCTAGGACTCTGTTCCATCCAATAGCAAAGCAGAGCTACAGGGCACCCGAAGCTGGTGAATCCCCTTTGCCATGCTTCCTGAAGCCAGCTTCTGGCAGCTTCTCCTGACCAGTGTCTACTGGTTGTTGGGCATACTGTAAGAGCACCTAAGGATTGAAAGCCTGCCTTACCTACTGTTGTATCCGTTCAGCGCTTATCTGTAACATTTTAATGAACTTGGTTAATAGAACACGGTGTAAATACATTTATATAAATTTATTTTTAAATTTGTAAATATAGGTTAAGTTGCCATGTGACATTTCTTTTATAAATCATCAAAATAAATCCTTTTGCATTAACTTTTTGTGTTTTTAATTTATTTTATCCTACGTGTATGGCATGGGTGTTTCGTCTGGGCACCACTTTCGTACTTGGCTGCTCTAGAATGGAGTTATAGGTGGGTGTGAGCTGCCACGTGGGTGCTGGAAATTCAACCCAGTTCCTCTGCTAGAGCAGCCAGTGCTCTTAAGTCTGAGCCGTCTCTCCAGCCCCCTCTGCGTTAACTTTTGTATCTGACTGTTCTGTCCACGGTGGCTGTTTTACATCTTTTCTGCATCCTCCTGAAGCCATCCTTCAGCTGTAAAATGGGAAGTGAGGCAGCATCAGACATCACTACTCTCACTGGAGATGTAGCACATAGGGCACTTGCTGAATATGTGTGAGAACCGAGGTTCATCCAGAAAACTGAAAAAAGAAAAAAAAAATCTCTATTGCCATCCTTCTGCTGGCCCTAGTTCTGAAAAGTACAATCTTCTTTCTTAAGAACCTGCCAGCAGCCATGCTTGGTGGTCCACACCTTTAATCCTAGCACTGGAGAGGCAGAGGCAGGTGGATCTCTAAGTTCGAGGTCAGGCTGGTCTACAGAGTGAGTTCCAGGACAGCCAGGGCTGTTTCACAGAGAAACCCTGTCTCGAAAAACCAAAAAGTTTATGCTTATGTATAAACTGCTCCAGGGAAAGGCCTGAAGAAAAAATAAACAGCGACAGAACGCTGAGGATTGGATGGTCTGGGCTCTCTGATGGAGATGAATTGCCAGCTGACCTCAGAAACCAGGCTCATGAAAGAAATTTAGACACCGAGGTCTGCAGTCAGTTTTAGCCCTTACATCTTTCTCCAGACTCTGGTCGGCTATTGAATTTAGCACCTGTTGCAAAGCAGATTCCCTGACTTGTCTTACAGCCACATCCCACCATTAGAAATACAACTTCCCTGGAAGAGAAAAAAAAAACTCAATTCAAATTTAAGTCTGAGCCAGGTGTGAGAACGGATAGTGGCCTATACCTGTAATCCGGCAGTTGGGAGGTGAAGGCAAGATAATCACTCCGAGATCATACTTGGCTACACATCCAGTTCAAGGCCAGCCTGGGCTACATGAGACCCTGTTTCAGAAAATAAAGTTGAATACATCTCAGTGCAGGAAGAGCACTGGGCAGCGCCTGCATCCTCTCAGCAGAAACGTCACAGCCTTGTGGAATGCGTCACTTCCGCTAAAGAATTAAACTCTTACAGATGCCTTTGCGTCTCAGAGCAGTCACAGCCTGTACTGCCGGCTCTAATGTTTTCCTCTAAAGGAAAACACACAAGATATTTCCAGATTCTCGTCAACAGAGAGCACGATGAAAAGATGTGAAAGGCCGCAATTTTCCGGCTTTGAGGAAGAACACTGGTGATTTTCCAGGTGTCTGTTCTGAGTTTATCTGGAGGCTGAGGAGGAAACGAGTTCCACCGAGGCACTGCCAGCCTCAGGGCCGCAGAAGCCGTGATTGCGCAACTGACTCCATCAGCTAAACATCCAGCCGGCCCAGGGCCGCAGAGACTACCCTCTGGGCCCTAGAGATAGGGGGAGACGCTAATCAATACCCACATACAAACACAGGGTTGCATTTTTAGGCTGAACAACTAAAACATCCTCGCATTCTCAAGTGTGGGCGCCTGTCAGGATCACGCATGCGCATGCGTATTGGTCGTTTGCCCTTAGTTCGCTGCAAACATTCCTAATCGAAAGCATTTTATAATTTCACTCGGCAATCTGAAATACGAACTTTAGTTTCGTTGAGATCGATAGCAATCTAAACAGGATAGTCGGGTCTTTTTAATGCTTAAAAAAAAAAAAAGAAAAAAGAAAAAAAAAAAAACAACTTTTGTGTGGCAACTGTGAAGGAGACATGATGACATTCTAAACTTCCCAAAAGCTCATAATGTGACTGTCTAGCCAGAGGCTGGGTGGGAAAGAGCAAAGACACACCAGTACCTCTTAGTTCCCTAAGAGTCAATCCAGGAGATCAGGGAGTGGTGGCGCATGTCTGCCTGTCACCCACAGGCAGAGTCAGGAGTTCCAAAACATTCTCAGCTACTTGGTGAATTCAAGGCCACTGTATGGGGGGTTGGGGGAGGTGGGCCGGGGGTCCTTTAGGGAACTATTCCTTAGGAAAGCCGGCTGTTCTAGAGAATTTGATGAAAGCTACCCAAAGCGTACTGGTCTCTCTGGCCACTGACGCCTTACATGGCGTTCCAGTGTTCCACTCCGCAGTGGTCCTTGGACCGCTTTCCACTGTTACCTTTCAGGATGCTTCATAGCCTGTAATCCCCACTGCCTGTTTTCCCGCACTCCGTGGGTCACACCTGACTTCTTTCAACACTGATCACAAGGGCCGGGGAGGTAAGGGAAAGCCAAGCGAGAGAGCCCTTCGTCCAAAGAGACCACGGAGTTAATGGATAACAGACTAGACGAGAGCTTGCAACTTCTTATCAGTAGGGGAGGTCAATATCTAAAACATTTAAGAGTGTTTGGAGCTCGACAAGAAAAAGAAATAAAAGTAAGCTGTGAGTGGCAGCGTCACGCACAGTCCTAACAATGGAGAAGCGAGACAAGAGAACCGAAAGTGTGGAGTCATTCTGGCTACACAGCGGGTCCCGGGCGAGCCTGGGATACCTGAGACCCAGTCTCAAAAACACCAACTGTCAGAAAAGGGAAAATGGAGGAGCAGAGGAAAGAGATGACCATGCCCGTTCACAAGGGGGAAGGGGAAGATAGATAGAGATTGGCAAATCTCCTAGGTTTGGGCTAAGGTTTGTTTATTTTTGGTATGGGTTGGTTTGGTAACAGGGTCTCATGTACCTCAGGCTGCCCTGGAACTCACTATGTAAGTGAATCTCTCTCTCTTTTTTTTTTTTTTTAAGATTTAGGCAGGTGGATCTCTAAGTTCGAGGTCAGGCTG